GTTTTATCAGCAACGTAGTCGGCATCGTCAGTGAGTCTTAACATTCTTAGAACCAAGTTAAAAATTAACGATGAGACAAAGAACGTCAAGTCTTCGACTAACTTGCTGTCTAATCGCTAAACTATCACTCCTCTTTCATTCCTGACTAATCTACCTACTCCCGCCCTATCTTAACTTTTGGCTTATTTATATTCGATTCCTTTAGAGTCGGCGCGTTATCACACTTACTTATCTTTTCCCGTTCACCTCGATCTTTCAGGATGGTGAATCCGACTCAGATCTTCTATCTAAATCTCCCTTATGTTCGCAAAGCTGCCTTTCTTATTTTACTAGTTGAATGATTTCATTTGGTTATATTCATAGGCTTTACTTATTATGGTCTGTTATAAGCCTTTGGTAGCACATATACTGTTATTTGATTGAACAGAGCACTTAGTCTCTGATTACAAAGCTTGCAAATATCAATCAATGGTTCCACGGGCCACTTTTGTGATTTAACCAGTTTACTTTAGGAAAACTATAAAAGTCTATTTTTGAGCTTCTGCTGCATCTTGAGTAGATTTCTAATCACGTTGTCCCGGATCTACTAGCCATAATGCTGCTGCTAGGATAAAAGTAGATATGCCTACAAGATCAGAATAGAAGCCTCTTAACTTGCATCCATAATTAGGACTTTTGAATTAGTAGACTTTAGAAGTTTTTTTCTCAATTTGACAGAAAAGGCATTTGCCTTTCCTAACGGTCAAACATACTATTTCATATGAAGCCATTTTAATGTTAGCAACACAATGTCATTGTCATCCTTTTGCTTGAAAATGTATGGATTTAGGTAGATTATATATTCCAGCTTATCGGCAAACATCTGAAACTTATGCTTCTTTCGCTTGCACATTAGAGTTATGCCAACTAAGCCAAGTCAATATTCATGATTAGTAGGTCTGGGTAAGTATGTCCTGTGATCTACTGACACCAGTGGCAGTGTGGTCTGGTGGCGTAACTCGGGTTCAAGTCCTGTTGGGGGCGTTGATCAGACTCCGAAGAGATATAAACCGTGGCCCACTCTGGATGAGACTACTTTTTGAAAGGCAAGAATGAGGGAAATTTATTGGCATTTCAATCTCTACTCATATCAAAATGAGTATTTGCAGCTCCTATTCAAGATATATTGGTGATTTCTAAGCCAATTTAAGTAATTTAGTCGATTTGAATGACACTGTACAATTTTACCCTTTTAGCAATCCCACTATAAGCGTTAGATAGAAGGGACATGGTTTGCATTAAAATTCATGTCTGCTTTGTGATAAGGTTAGCACCCGTGGCAGTGTGCCATGGTGGCAGCATGTCAAAATAGCGCTGTTAAGTCGGGTTTTATTGCCCTTATGGTGTTGACGCTACCCATTCGGGGTTAATGATGCATTCCATACAGAATATAAATACATTTTTGAGTCACGACTGAAGTAAAGTTATTTTATTGTGAGGCCAACTCCTGTCATTATGATATAATCTAACTATCAATTTTTCATGACCTTATTCGACTTAGGGTTACTGCAGTTTTTGATATCCTTTTTTTATTATCTTTCACTAATATGATCCTCATTTATAACGCCCTCCACTGTCTTTCTTTGTACTTTAGCAACTTAATCAAAGGGTATTATTCTTTAAAGCAACACTCCTGTCTTAAAACTGTCGTTTACACAATGCTGCTACTCCCATTTTTCTTCTTCCCCTCCTAGCATCCTTTGCGCTTCTTTTTTGACCCCTTTATCATATTACTGCTGACGCATCCACTGCCTCTCCTGTATCCTATTAACTTTTGCAACAGATTCAATCGCCTCTTTCCCTAGCGGGCTTTCTTATTTGTGAGCAAAGAAGCTGTAATATTGCTTGTTAGAACAGGTCTTTTACGAGTCACCATCCAAAATTCTTCAGCAGACTCGGAATAATGGCAGATAAATAATCACGCATAAAATGCCTATTCGATAAAAAAAATTTTCCCTATGGAATTGGTATATGTCGAGTTATGCGATAATTTTATGCAAAATTTATTCTCGGATTAATTTTACCAAAATAATAATAATAATCTTTTCAATCCCAGCATTTGTCTCAATTGACAAGGGCCAATCAGTACACAGTCTCTTAACTCTCTGTAGGGTTGTGTGCGTCTTTGTATGTTCTGGGATTTAACTTCAAAGTGGCTGGTTGTCGGGAAATATTTGCTGAACATAACGACATGTCTTCTTGGTTTGATGCTTAGTTTAAGTTAGCATAATGTTGCCCGCTTATATTAATACACCTGCCAGACAGCAAACCAAAGCGTTGCATCAAGTTACTTGCAATAAAGGAAGATTTATTGAGGGTGGTATTTCCCATAATGTCGTATGAATCTTTCAATCAAAGAAGGGGAATACTATTACTTGTTTATTCATAAATGCTGTTTCAAAAAAGACATATTAATTAATAATGCATCAATATTATCTGTGGACATGGGTATGAATTTAATTCTTTTAGTCAAAATATTCTTTTAAGTTTGATTTTTAATCGAATTTCAACCAGGATATTATTATTTTGCTAATTCAATACAGTATTTGTTAATACAATTGCTTCTAAGATGTGGTGTGATGAGTAACATACTACTCGATTGTAATAACTGAATAATATTTGATAATGATGAAAGATTTATATCCAATTTATTTGCATCATAGTCTCTTACTGTAAATCTTCAGATTAAGGAATTGAACTATTTCAATTACTGTCCTGAACAGATGGTGAATTATTATTAAACCAAGATCTTTCTGGTTTGTCTGAACTCGAGTTTCAGAGCAAGCTAATAGCCGGTGATATATATTCGATTATAGATACTCTCAAAATTATCTTATTATTTCAACTCCTTAATTCTAATTCTCAACGGTAATCCTCAAGGTAGGCATTTATATTTTCATCATCATCACTGTATTGCTAATAACACAAAAGAGCTCCATTCCTTCACATTGTAGAATAATATGCTTTTATATTTTGAGACTGTCTTAGAGCTCTAATTTGACCCTTAATCCCTTGATCTCATGGATTTATCCAGTGTTTGCTAAAAACTTGACTGGGCTCGAAAAGTATGCAACAATTCTTGCACAAAATAGTGAGATTATAGCATAGATTATAATGTAAAAAATTGAGTAATTATGAATTCAAGATACTTAAATGTTCGTAATCTTACTATGAGCATTAAGTTTCCATTAATAAAAACCTGTGTATCTAGGACTTTGTTTTTAAAAATTACGCCTTACATTTATGCTATAATTTCCCGTAAAGTCTGAATCGTGATTTAATTAAGTGATCACTTAGGAAATAAAATCTTGTAAGTAGGACATTTTAGCAGAACGAACCAAGGATACATTATTTACTCTATGGCTTGCAGATAAAGTGTAGATAAAATAGGTCTGATGCTACAATAAAAGAGTATACATTTTCTGATTGGACAATGCCGACTTGTATCACGTGATGGATATAGTCTGTAGTACGAGAATTAGGTTGGTGTGCCTCTGAATGTTCCACATATTTGAGTTTAGTGAACAAAATGACTTTGTTAATACTTTGACAAAAAGTAAGGTGTGATATACATCCTTGTACATTTCTGTTTTTCACTTTGTTGAAGGAAAATTAAAACCTATTATTGTATTTCCGTTCATAACTTCAATATTAGGCTTTGGTACGTTCGGCACTCTGCAATATTAATAATGACAAACAAAGGAGAGTCACAAGGGAACAGAGTCCAATTTCATTTAGGAAAGAAAATAACTTTTCAAGAACCTCAATCACTTCTGACTATTCTCCGACCTGCAACAGTCCCGCGATGGAACCAGGATCAAAACCCGATCGCAAGACCAAGAATGGTGGCATATTCGAGAGTGAAACATGGACTTATGTCCCTCAAGATTCAGCCGGTGAGTGACATAAAAACTTTCCTTTTTCACGTTTTTTCTTTGATAATCTGTTGCTTATTTAATTTGTGCGTAGTATTTCGTAATGCATGATTAATATATTTAGCAGAAACACACTTTCCACAACCCCTGCTGGTGAGATCCAATTTTATCTGGGCTTTCTGTCTCAACTACACTCAGTATAATCATAGATTTGTGCCCATACATGAAATACAAATGTGGTTTCAGTTTGAGAGCCTTTTAGTCTAATTTCCATGTACCATCTACCGATGTTACTGGGGTGTATCTGGGACACGAATTTCACAAGGTATATATTAGAGAAAAATCTATTTACTAATTTCGTTTGCTATTGATTATTTATTGACATATACTTATGATTCGATAAAAGAAAAAATTGAGCAAACTTTATGTAAATATCGTAACCTCGGTGAGTTATAATTAGAAAAGTAGAATACTTTAGCATTTTTGTTACTACCACTATTTTTACTTTTTTCCTCCATCTGTGGTATGAAAATCCCGACAACATTTATTTCTATTTCCATTAAGAAACATTATACTCAAAAAGTGTCTCAGCGGATGCTCAGTTGCCGACAAAAGATAAAATATCTCCGAATCAAGCAAAGCAATTGAATAATCCTAAAGAAAATCGTAACTTGGGCAGTACAGTATATGAGAAAGATAGAAGGCCTTCAAAAGGAGAAAATAATGAGAAGACGAAAAGGGCACAAGCCGTCGCCATACAACTGTTGAACAATGCGCGGAATGATTACGAGCGCTTGGGATTACATCCTGGTGCTACTACGTAAGTTTTCGTTGCTTTTCACATTGTCTACGACACAAATGACGATTTATTCACAGGCATTGTTTGTTCCTAAGTAGGCAATAAACATCATTTTATAGTGCCAAATAAATCATTATACCATTATACTCAGGGAAAATTGAAAACTCTTAACACTTTATTTCGAATCTACCATTTAAAGCATTTCGATTTGGATTTTCGGTTAGTTGCGATCAACTTTACATCAGGTCTTGCCCTCGTCCGAAACCGGGAAGACATAAGAACTAATAAATTTCACATAGCCTTGCTTTCCCAAAAGTTGTCAAAATTCAGGATCGTATAATCATCCTTTAAGGCACACATTTCTGTCATTTTAACCATCTAAGAAAAATCCTGTTTTTTTTCAAATGTTGAAGTCCAAGGCTTTCCTAATTTCCTATAGTCTAGAAATCCATTTTCATTAAGGCCAATTAGTAAAACAGAAACTAATATTCTTTGCTGATGTTAATATTTAATGAGAGGTATTCACATATATTTGTTATAACAATCGACTACGTTACTTATTTTCGTATTTGAGTAGTCTCGATACTACCAGTTAATCAGTAATATTCACCCAATTTCGTTAAGGTGATGAAGGATTGGTAGAAGAAGAAATTTCCCACAATGATATGAGTTGAGCTGACCTTTCCGTTGAATTTCACATTGCCTTGCTTTCCCAAAAGTTGTCCACCCTGGATGAGATCAACTTTTGGGAAAGCAAGGCTATGTGAAATTCAATGGAAAGGTCAGCTCAACTCATATCAATGTGGGT